CTTCGACTCGTCACGGTAACGCGGTGTCTGCTTTGGAAAATAGCTTGAACCGAGCCGACACGTTGGCCAAAGGTCTGAAGAAACAGCGGGGAGCCGCCGATGAAGTCATGACCTTGTTGGTTGCCAGTGAAGGAGCCGAAGCCGCTGTCTATGACGCCACCCGTGTCAAGATGTTTCGTCGTGGTCTGGTGTTCCAGGGACCCAAGTTGGAGCAGCTCAATGCTGCGTATCCCTCTCTCGGTCTTGTTCCAGCCCGTGAGGCGGCTTTTCTCCAGGCCTATCCGGAGTACCTTCCCGACCCAACTTTGGGTCCCAATCAGCGTGGAAAGGACTACGAGCACGATCGCACTGCTGAGTTCTTGGTGAAGCGCTTGGCAGCTACGACTCCAGCTCTTCCTCCAGCTGCCCGTCAGCAAATCACTGCAATCGTCAACCGGTGCGTGGACGACATTGACACTGTGCTTGTGGGAGCTGGACAGCCTGCAGCGTCTGCCGTCATGGGTAGAACCATCATGGCAGTTGTCAGCTTGAACGAGGAGCATGAGGTGCAGCCCGTGTGGGGGCACGGTCCTTGAAGGTCCGACCACCACAGAAGAGAAGAGGAGGTTCTGTCGTCGAAACAAAACCCCCCCCCCCCGCCCCTTATCCCAATATGTTATCAACGGAGTGACTGATAACTCAATTAACAAATAAACAAACCGTATTTCAGGTTTACAAAAACATCCAACACCTTGGATCTAGTGGATCGAAGAAGACCTAAGCCTTCTTGATCTTGTTGAGCTCTGTGCCGCATATTGCCGACATCTTGTGTAGCTTTCAGAGCCTTCGAGCCAGCGTCTGTAGCAAGACGCTCTACCCTTCGTCATGGAGGTCTGTCACAGTCTTCATGAGAGACTTGACTGCTTTGACCTCGTGTGACCCACACGCTTGAGCTGGCTTGAATCAACGCGGTGTTCCAACTGGAATTCCATAACTTCCTTCATGATAGACGATGGCTTTGAAAGCAACGCTACAATGATCTCCTGAGATCTGTTGAGGAGACTGCATGAGAGTCCAAATGACTAACGCGCGGTGCAGCTTCGACGACAGATAGAAACTCGTTGCGCCTTGGCTCGCAAGGTTTGCAGAGTAGCCAAAATACCGTGAGACAAATCGTCCCCCAATAGCCACGCTTCCTTGGAAGGGTAGTTAGAAGCGGTCGTAAGGGACCGCTGGTAGTTCGTCATGTAGCTTAGACCCGCTCACAGTGTTGCAAGGCGAGAGCGAGTATGTGTCCTTTGAGACGTCCCTCTGGCGTGCTCATGTCGCGTAAGGAACTGTACGACTGCCCCAGGTCTTCGAGTAGTAAAGTAATGTGGGACTTCTGACTGTTCATGTTTTCATCATACGCAAAATATGATGGCAAAAGTGCTCCAAAACCCTTGTTGTGGTCAACCAAACGGCCATTCTTGAGGTCCGCAGATGACGAGAAGAAATAGGGAGGTCGCATGTGCGAGAAAGACGCCAAGAGGTCACTGTCTTCCTGAGTCGGTGCGCTTTCATGGACGTAGTATATGACCTGGCGTGTTCTTCTCCGATTGAACACCAACAACCATGATCACGAAGGCTGTGAATGAGTCCATGCAGCCAGCGAGTGATGAGATGTTGTGCTTCCTGACAAACTTGAGCACATCATCCATCGAGCTGAAAGTGTAGTCATCTGACCTGAAGGCAGAAGCATCAAGAGATTGGTTGGCCAACTTGTCTGCCTTTTCCTCAGCGTCCGTGAGACGTAGACGTAGGCTATCAATGGTGTCCGACATCTGCCTGAGAGACGATGAGGTCTGCTGTTGGTACAACAACTGCTCAGATTCCAAATTAGACAAGCTCTGATCGTATCTGTGTTGTGGGGACCGTCCGTTGTCTGATTCCCGAGCACCGCATGAAGGCGCTCCTCTAGGCTTTTTCCAAGTTGTTGGAAGTTGTCTCCAACAGTACTGAAGGTGCGAAGCATCTTGTCCTCCACTTGGATATGCTCCTGGAGCTGGATTGGGTGATGCCTTCCATGCTAGCTCGAATGGAGCGTCCTTCTTCCTTGTTGATAAGTACCGCGTCACAAATCGTGGCAGCACCAAAGTCGGATGGGGTAGGCCCCACACGAGCGTCCAATGATGTGAATAGCTTTGTTGCCATTGAATAAGTGCTTGTTGGTTTTGTCAAAAGCGATCGAGACTCTTGAAGTGAGGGTAACAACAGATGACCGGAGGGTATCCGTGGTTTCATTTAGCTTCAGAACGCTTCCGACATCATCTTGAGGTCATATTTGGTCTCCTCATCTGTGCCACGTCAGCTTCGCAAGCATGTTGAGTCTGGCTTTGACGCCCGACCTCAACTGTTTCGCGCCCAAGGCTTCGTGCATTTCTTCCGTCGTTGGTTCCATGATCGCTGAAGCTTCGCGGGAGTCTTCAGGATACGGTCACCGCCGCTGAACGAGTTGGATGACTCTTGCTTGCTGTCAGGCGTACTAGGGGAAGAATTCGCGAGTTCGTGCTTAAATCCTTGGTGTGTCAAAACCATGGCACGTAGAACATCAGCTTGCCCAGTGAAACCCTTCAGCGATTTCGGAACCTCACTTGGCAGGTCGCCGATTAGAGCGGCAGGCACGGCAAAGGCCTGATCGATCTTCTTGGGAACTTGAATGAGTACAGTTTGGCCCATTATAGCACCCAGTTTTTCCTCGCGGTGCGCATAAACTTCGCAACTGATCTTCAAGCAGACACGGGTCTTGGCCGAGAACTTAATAAACCCCAAGCAAACATCCTCCTTAACAAGTACGAAACGAGTCTTACCTGAAGTGTCCAATCCTTGGTTACTATCAACACCTCCATTTCCACTTAAACCCCCCCCGTCAATACTAGCACGGACTGAGTCGGCAGATGAAGGGGAAGTGCTATCGCCAAAAGCGTAAGCAGCTGGAAAAGCAAACTCATCGACCGTCATGGCGATGGATGTACTCGAAATTTCTCTGCAAATAGTCAAGATGGTCAAGAGAGTGATCAACCTCACTTGTTCAACTTGGTTGGCTGCAGGTTAGTCTTGATAGTAGCTTTTGGATCTTCTGCTTCAGGAAGAATGAGTCTGTGGTCTCTGAGAAGTCCACCTGGTCAATGACTCGCCAGGTTGCTTCTTCCACTGAGTCTTGGATGCTCCTGACTGAGTTGTAACTGTGACCTTTCCCCTTGACCCTATCTGCTTGGCTGGGGGCGAGTATTGACTGTAGAGATACCGGTAGCGCTGAAATTATTTTTTGGTGCTCCAATCACGAGGAAGCAGGATGAGGAGAAGATGAGGCTCCAACCACACAGAAGATTTACCGGTAATGTTTAAAGTCTTCCTAGGCCTTCCTCCTGTTTCTGACCATTAAAATATATCGGTTCTTCCATTGCATGTTCTTCTCCGGCCTGCGCTGAGGCGGTATTTTACAGTACTGGAAGGTTCTGCGGAATGGACACCATGAGGTTCCAATCACGAGGAGGCTTTTACTGGAGTACCGGTACTGGTGGGCACTTCTCTGAGTGCAGTAATAAGCTTTAACCCCCCGCACTCCCTGCTCCCCATACCCCATACCAACCAATAAATTCCAATCCACAAGCTGCCAATTATTACTTGGCTTTCCTTGCTCCCCTGTGTCGGACCATTTCTCTGTTCTTCTTGTTCTTCTCTTATTTTCTCCAGGGGCCTTCTTGTGAAGCGGCAGGAAGGTTTGGATCACGTTTCTTCTCTTCCTCTACCAGACACCAGACTATTCAGCGATTCAGAGTACTGTTAGACTACCAGAGATGGAAGGGTTTTTTGTTTTTTGGACAGGGAAGCTATCTCCACGGAGAGAGTACGGCATTCGGTACGTACCGTACTGTGCTGTGCCTTCAGCTTTCAGCTTTCAGTATTGGCTCACAATTATTTTTTGATCTTCACATTTATTTCACCACAAGGACCAATTACATCAAACAAACCAAGACAAGCACACAGTACAGCAACCATGATGAACGCAAGAACCAAAATCACGACAAGACGAGGATTGAAGCATACGAAGCCATTGGTGGATCTGTTTCCCTTGCCAGAACACTCCACCAGGACGAAAAGTTTGGGGCTGAAGCGCTCCTTGGCATCTGGCTGCCTTGAGCAACTCGGTCAGCCCATGAAAAAAATCAAGACCAGGCATCACACATCTCAATGCAACCATGACCAAACACTTTCTTCAAAGGATCCAGAGCCTCCTTTCCTCTTGCTTCAAGCATTTGCACCATTCAGCGAGAAGCAGGCCTTTGACACGGACGATATCCTTCCCTTTCCTATGCTGGATCTGGGCAAGGACACGATGGATCCCATGTTTGCCCTATCCGGAGCCATTGCAGCCTGATTCAGCCAATGTGTGTCTTCTCCCATCATGTAATCCAGCAACCAATCGTATCTTTTATCTACTCTTCCAGCTGTACAAACAATCATCGCAGCAGCTCTGCCTTGCTTACTTTAGAAACACATGTGTATAAATTAACAAAATCCGCGCTCTCTATGGACCAACTACCAGCTAGACCCTGCTTCTTGGAGCCTCTGAGGCAGCCCCTCAGGCTTGTTCTGTGGTCCAACCGGCTGCTGAGTAATCGGAGTGACCTCCCTTTTGTACAGATCCAAGCAATGACATCCATGCACTCAGCTCAAACCCATACGCTCACATAGCCAGGGACGTCATGCAACTCAGGGCCTGAACTTCAGAATCGTCAAAATTAATAGTGCTGTTCTCACAGACAAGCTCTTTACTACCAGCAGCTACTGAGTACCAGTAGCTTCTAGCCTAGCTAGATACCGAGCTACTGGAGTCACAAGGATGGATAGAAAGGGGATCCCAAGAAGCAGAAAGAAGCAGACAATTAATGCATCGTGCATCGGGATGATGTTATGCAAGCTGCAAGCACCTCGAAGAAGATCGGAACCTAATAACTGTGTTGTGACGACAAGATGTACTTGTTCCCCTCGAGCGTTATGTTGGTGGACTGGACACTAATGGCTGCATCACCAGGAAATTTTATGAACCCCGAAGAATATTTTCGTCTGGACAATCATAATTCCAATAAATCTTTGAGATCGAAGTGTTCTTTGGCTCCTCTCTTCTGTTTCTGCCCTTTTGTCTGTTCTTCTTGTTCTTCAGCACGGGCTCACTCAGTCAATGCGGTGAAGGAAGATCGGAAGATCGGAGAATAAAGGAATGAAGGAAAGTACCGCGTGGCTGCCCGCATTGGCCGGCACCTCTACCGGTAGCTAGCTAGGACTGAAGAAGGCTCGTACTGCTTTCAGCTCCGGGCTCACATTTATTCTATACATTGCACCACAAGGAGCCATTGCATCAAAACCAAGACATGCATGCACCAGCAAGGATGAATGAAAGGAGAAGCAAAAGCACAACAAGACGAGGATGGAAGCGTTCGAAGCGATTGGTGGATCTGTTTCACTTGGAAGCCCACTCCTCCAGAACGAAAACTTCCATTGAAAGAACACAAGGGCTGAAGCGCTCCTTGGCATTTGGCTGCCTTCAGCAGCTCGGTCATCCCATGAATAAGATCAAGACCAGGTGCTGTTCATCTGAATATAAGCACAACAAAAAACGTTCAAGTGATGATGATCCAGAGCATCCATTCCTCTCCCTTCAAGAATATGCATCATCATGTATTGAGAAGAAGGCCTTCACTAACACGGATATCCCTCCTTTCCCAATTCTGCACCAGTGCCAGGACACGAGGGATCCCACATTTGCCCTGCTCCGAGCCATTGCAGCCTGAGCAATTCAGCCAATTTCGGTCTTCGCCCATCCAAGAATCCAGCAACCAATCGCATCTACAATCCATCTTTTATCTGCTCTTCCAGCCAAACAAGCTGTACAAACGATCATCACAACGCCTCTTTCTTTAGAAATTCATGTATATAAACAACAAAATCCACGCTCTCTATAGACCAGATAACTATTAGACCCTGCTTCTTGTACGCACAGTAGTATCACATGCATCATCAACTTGGTAGTACAGCTTGATGCGACAAATTGGTATGTCTCATTGTGAACTTTGTCCAGCACTATTTACTAGATCCCACCTCTCTTGCGTGTACCAGTTCTGCCTGAACTGATTTTGCCAGGCTGGTAGATGGGCAGTTCAACTCGAACGACCCCTTGAGAAAGTAAAAACTCTTCTGTTACTTGCAGGATCTACCCTGACCCGCTATGAACTAGATTCTCTAGTAGCTAGCTAGGAAAACAATGTCTCCAGCTATGGATTAGAAGGGACTATGGTGTGGATGGGTTTCAGACGGGGAGGGCAGGATGCAAGAGCACGAGCCGAACAACGGAGTGAGCAGAGCAACAGCAAAACCAAAGAAGGAGAGGTTGGCAAAGGGAGGAGGACAGAGTGGATCAAAGGTAGGACTAGCCGAAGAGATCAAGAGCTCCTCCGTCATCCCAACGCCTTGAGATCTTGAGAGCTGGGAGAGCCTCTTAGGCACATTGTAGCTGCTCGAGCGAGGGCAATGCTCAAGCTAACAAGTGGAGTACGATGAATAGCTACTACCAGTACTCTAAGCAGTTCGAAAGCGAGTGTGGTGGAAACAGACCCTGTTCGGTTGTTTGTTTTGTGGAATAGACATGCAAGGTTGGGTGGGTCAGCTGTCGGGCACGGGTTCCTCACGAAGAACTTGTTCTGTTTGCACCGTTGCACTGGACCTTCCAACTTGCTGACCTCCCTGGAGCCTTAATTAATTACATAATTAAATATTTAATTGCAGCTCTATTAATAGTGGAACGAATCCAATGACATCCAAGGAGTGCTGGCACGTGGCCTGCGTCGTCGCAGTCGTCGCTCTTAATTACTCGTAGACCAAGCATTGAGATTCGTTCTCACAGACGTGCTCTATTATTTTAATAATAGCGCACAAAGCTCAAGAGCTCTCTTGTCTCTAGCTGCCGGTAGCTACTAGCTAGTAGCTAATCGATAGATTTCAACAGTTACTCTTGCTGGATCCGAAGAAGCTGTTGCCATGCAGCTCGGTTTGCCATTCCTTGGAGGAACTTCAATTCCTTTATTCCCGGATATCCTCCAGGATTTCCTTAGAGCCAGCATCCTTCCATTTCCACCAAAGTTTTCAGTCAGAATCAACTTGATAACCATGACACAGCCACGTGTAAATGGAATGAAGCGCTCTATGGCAACCGCAGATTTGTGCCAGATGGCGGAAGCAGCAGCATCATCAAGGCAAAAGTCCTTGCAGTGGTTTCAGAAGAGGTTGCCTGCTGGAGACACTTCTGAACTATCGATGATGCTTCCACTTGGTGACTTTTCCAAACTACCACCACAGTTTCAGAAGGGGCGACCTTCTGGAGACTCTTCCAAACTACAAGTGTTTCTTCAGCTACCGAGGACTGTGCAGGGAGTACCAAACCAAAACCCAAGATCCGGTTGAAACTAACTATCATTGGCCTTGTGGCGACGTTGGGACAAGACATACATGTAACCTTCGAATAGACGAGTGTATTCGCTGGGTAGACCAGCACATGAGCTCCGCTGCCAACCTCCCCATCCCTTCATGTGCACGTCCCCTCCTCTTTCAACCGTCCCCTCCTCTTTCAACCACACCACCGCCCAGTTCATATAACCAATCGTTTCAACATCTTTGCACTCCAGCTGGCTAAATCCAAGGTAACGGTACCGGTAGCAGGCGCCAGGAAAGTTGTTGACCTTGTTAAACATGTAATGGGTCTCTCTTTATTTTAATTTACTTGATACGGATGATCAAACAGCCTACTCTCTTCTTTTTGTGCTGTTTCAACCTCGTTGCCGCAGCCCCATGGTAGGCACGAGTGTCGTCGTCGTCGTCGTCGTGGATTCCCTGTTGTTTGAACTAGACCCGCCCTGGCTGTTGTTAGTATCGGATGCAGCAGCTGTGGATGGCCCCGACGAAATCCCACCGGTGAAATGCTCCAGTTCATCAATGGAATTCAGAAATACCGAGTGCAGAAGTAACCGAGTCCAGTCATCAATGCCATTGTCTTGGTTGGTGCGAATGGCTTGTAGCAACAGCTGCAGGGCAAAGGAAACGCCACCAGTACCAGCGTCACCCTCTTGCAAGAATACATCATCACCGTGCTGACCCATAGCCACAAACTCTGCCAGACACGATAGCAATGCTGTCGTCAGGAACCATTTCTCCACCACCAATAGTACCTGGACCAAAATAGGTCCTTGTGGTTTTCGATTATTGTTGTCATTATTATTTGACTTTTGGGGAGTGGTTACAGCGGCATAAGTCTGGAGTGTCTTGACCACTGGTCGGCAGGACAGTGCTTCTGCCATGTTGACGAGAAAGAACCAGTATGGATGGACAAAGGCCGCAAGGAGCGACCCGGCCACGGTCAGCACAAAAATAGCCATGAGAAATGGCATGAGGGATCGACCAGGACTGCCGCCGTCGATGTTGATGACGGTTTCCAGTTGGCACTGGAGAATGTAGGCAGTGGTCAAACAGAGAAAGTTCTGGCCCACGACTTGAATGGTCCCGAGCACGGCGTCGGCAACTTTCAACAGCATCGTCTCGCTCCTATGGGCCAACAGCAAGTGGCACGAGAGCGTTCGGACGAGACCAACGATTGCCAGGAATAGCAAAGCGCGCCGAAATGGCAGCGACAACCTCCCTCCGATGCTGCGAGAGGATGTGTCTGACGGAACTCGTGGAAGCACGGCCACAGCCGCCACTCCCACCATGAAGATCTGGCCTGCTAAAAAGTTGACTTCCTGTCCAACCTTCATCGTTGTTAGTGTCAACTCGATCGAAGAGACCTGTTGTCGTATATGGGAAGAGGAGTTCTTTTGTGTTGGGGTGTCGAGATCCACCCGACAAAGTGGGGGATCCACGACTTGAACTCGAGCGTGGATACGTTGGATGTGCCCCGAGTCGAGTCGTAACAGTTTTGTCCATCTTCGCGTACTTTGTCATTGTGCCTGTGAGGGTTTTCTTTGTCCACCGAGTTGGCATGCCGGGTACCGTAGTTATTAGTGTCAAGGCAACCGGTGCTATGCATACGGTAGGACAGCAGCAAGCTAGCTAGCTAAAACGCAGTCTTTCTATGCATACCATGGTATCATGGTACCTGTAGCTGGGTCCGAACCAGAAAAATGATCCGCAGCGACCTCTGGCTCGTGCACGCACACGACGTACGTGGATATTAGTTTGTCTACGTCCCACCGCAGTCCAAAACTTTGGGTACCGGTACGAGTTGAGGCCTCCTTCTTCAGCGCCATAATCAAATTGTGCGAGAGCTGGCTGATATATCTTCCATGGCTTTCATGAACTCTGCTGTCCGCGACGAACCCCGTATCACTTGTGGTCACCCAGCTATGGCTCCGATTGACTCTGCTGATTCTTCCCATGCTCCTACTCCCTCCGATCCCTTCGTCCAAGACCAAGGTGATCGACTGGTTCGAGGTTTCTGGCATTGAGGTACCAATTGTAGCTTTGATGTTTCCCTCGTAGATGTCGAGTCCCCTGGTCGTCGCGACCGCGGTGTCACTGCTGAACAGGCCCTTGTTAAGCGGGAGAAGCAGAAGAAGACGAAGTACCAGGCCAAATGCAATGCACAACGCCGGCACTTCACCCCCTTTGTTGTTTCTGCTGATGGCCTCTTTGCTGCCGAAGCTACTGCTGTTCTGCAATGGCTTTCCCAGCTGTTGGCTCACAAGTGGTCCAAGCCCTACTCTGTGGTCCGTTCTTTTGTCTCTGCCAGGTTGAGCATAGCGCTCTCCCGGGCAGCTACCATGTGCTTACGAGGCTCCCGTATTCCAGTTAAAAAGCTTTCCCGGCGCTGGGATGACAGTGGTGCCCTCGATCTCTTCCGCTAGTCTTCCCCCCTTGATCCTTCTTGCCCCCCACCATGCCTTCCCTCCCTCTTTGGTTTTGCTGCTGCTCTGCTCACTCGATTGATTGATCGGCCCGCGTTTGTGCATTCTGCTCCCTGCCCTGATACACCCCCCCCTTCCCATAGTTCACCCCCCCGCCCATATCACTCTCTAAGCCATACCGGTACAGTAGTAACACATCGTAGTTCTCTGAACAGTACTACTAGCTAGCAGAACTGTGCCAGTCATTCACCAAATTTTATTCTTTTAACACGCGAACTCCATTGATCTCCACAAGCTCACAAGCACCAGAGAGATAGTAGAGCCCGAGGTCATCATGGAACAAAACAATGAAGATCAGGCTCCCAGCAGAGCATCGTCCCGAGCTAATCTCCCGGAGGAGGATGCTCAGCCAAGAGCGACCGGTATGCCTCCGATGCGTGCAGAAATGGTAGCAGCGGATGCGGCTGTGAGGCAAAAAGAAGGGGTTTTGCGGGTCTCTTCGGGCGTTCGTCCTTTGCCAGAAGAGCTCAAAGAATTAATGATGCAAGCTGGCACTATTCATGATACCACCAATATTGCAGTGGGTCAAGAATTGACTTCGGCTCATGATACCAACGCTCCTCCTCAGTTGCGAGTGGTGTCTCCGGAAGCCACCACCACTGGACCAGTTACTACTACCGGTACCGGTACTACAATAGGTACAAGTGGTGACGACATTTCCAAGAATTTAAAAATTGCCGATAAGGTTGCTGTTGGAGTGCAAAATTTGCAACCAGCTGTCGACATGACCACACTGTACCGAGACAATCAGCATCGTCGTCGACAGCAAGCTTTCCCGGGAGCCTACAATGTTGCTGGATTACAGCCTGGGAATGCAAACCCCAATCGAGATGCAGCAGAACCAAATGCTTCCCCAGATTCACCCACTCATGATAATAATAATAATCAAGGCTTGGCGGTGGCACAACCAGTAGCAGATGATGACCTGGAAGATGCCCGTCCAGTACTGCCAGAAAATGAAGCCGCTCGACTGGCCAAACGCAAGCAGACAAACTTTATGATCACCATTGGAAGTTTGTGTGCCATTGCAGTGGTTGTCTTTTTGATAATCTTCTTTGTAGTGGAGGGTGAAAAGGATAAAAGCCCAACCATTGTTGTCCAGGCCCCAGCAGCAGAAGAAAGCAACAGCACCGCATTTGGAAACTCGACATTGGAATCCATCCATCGCACCCCACCACAAATCTTGATTGAATTATTGCCTTCTGAGACCCTCCCTTATCTGGACTCCAGTGGAAGTGCACAGGCAAGGGCATTCCAATGGGTCACAGAGGATCCCCAATTTGACACATATTCAGAGAAGCGTTTGCAGCAACGGTTTGCCTTGGCGACATTCTTCTACAGCACTGGTGGAGATGGAGATGGTTGGGGCAGCAAGACAAACTGGCTCAATGCATCCGTACATGAATGTCACTGGGACTACTTCATGCCAGACAACCGGCACTATCAAAATCAACCTGGAATTCGTCACTATGACTACCAGTACATTGATGGCCCTTGTGTGCCTAGCAACGAAAGCATGGTAGCAAACAACTACAGCGTTGCTACAGATGTGGCGTTTCATGATGACTACTTGTATCTTGCCTTGGTTGGACAAGAGCTGCGTGGTGAGATCCCGCCAGAGATCACCATGTTGACTTCACTTCTCATGATCCAGTTGCAAGACACTGCCATGGAGGGGCATATTCCCACCATTCTAACCAATCTCACGGGACTGCGTGAGCTGCACCTTTACCGCAGTGCCTACACGGGCACTATTCCAAGCCAGTTGGCGTTGTTGACAGATTTGAGTTTGCTCACCATTGGAGGGAATGAGGGAATTCAAGGGTCCATGCCAAGTGAGATTGGTTTGCTGTCAGACCTTGAAACACTCATGATTGTAGAATCGAATGTGACAGGAACGATTCCAATTGAATATACAGGCCTCCATCCTCTCAATTTCATGGTCTATCAAAATCAACTCACAGGAACCATACACACAGAATTTGGGCTGTTCTCAAGAGTTGAATGGTTCATGATATCAGAGAATCAACTTGTAAGTGCATCTTTGTTTNCTCCATGGGCATGTGTACTTTGCAGAATTCAACAATTCCAACTGAGCTTGGATTGATGGAAAATGTGAAAACACTTTATGCCTATATGCTGAACTTGATTGGCACCATCCCAAGTGAACTGGGCTTGTTGAAAAGCATAAAACAGATCTATATTGACATTAATGCATTGACTGGAACGTGAGTATACCCTCAGACTTATGAACAGAGCCATCATTTGCTCAGTTTCGGCTAAACTCGGCGCTTTGCTTCTCGCTCTTCAGGATACCCACTGAACTTGGCCTCCCTAATGAAACCTTCTGGAGGATTGCCGTGGGAGACAATCTTCTTGTACGTACAACTTCTCCGGACAGGCCTTTGGTTTGGATTGAACATTTTCTTCTGACAAAACCCAATGTCTCTGTTTGCAGACTGGCACAATTCCTAGTGAGCTTGGACTCCTCACTGAATGTCACAATTTGCAAGCAGCTAGGAATTTTCTCACTGGTGCCATTCCCAGAGAAGTTGCTGCCATGCCGGCTATGGAGTACTTTTCCCTCCAGGACAACCAGTTTTCTGGAACCCTTCCCAGTGAATTGTTTTACAATGGTAGCAAGATGTACCGCTTCTGGTTAGAGAACAATGAAATTACTGGAAGCATCCCTGAAGAGATTGGCTATTGGAGTAGCCTGTGGAGAATGCGAGTGGATGGAAATCGAATGACTGGATCACTTCCATCTGAGATTGGCTCCCTAGCAAAATCGCTTGTCCGGCTCAATGTTGGTTCGAATCAGTTCTCTGGAAAGATCCCATCTGAGATTGGGAATCTGCTCAAGCTCAAAGAGTTCTCTGCTGGCGACAATGGCTTGACAGGCACTCTTCCTGCTGAGCTAGCCTTATTGGTGACAGAAGGAAAATTGAAAGTCTTGAACTTGACCAGCAATGAGGGTCTCTTGGGAGCCATCCCCAATGACTTTTGTTTGTTGATTGCTGACCCTGCTTTGAACAATGTTCTGGAGTTTGATTGTGGTGCTCTTTGTGGGTGCCATTGCTCTTGTGATAATGTGTCATCGTTTGCCTTGTATGGTGAGAATGGAACTTTCTTGGCGGATATGAAGGGAGGTTGGGTCTAACAAGCAAGAGTGGAGTTGGAGTTCCTACTGTTAATTCTTAGTGGAGTTGGAGTTCCAACTGTCCGCGTCTATAATCTATCTCCATAAGTTTTGAATAACATTGCTTGCAATAGATTATTTATTCGCTATGAACAAACAGTAACACAGCCGGCATTCCTCTCAGCCGTTCCTCTTTGATTCATGGAGCCTTCCACGTTGCGCCAGCACGAGCTCTCATCTGCGGTGCGACTGAAAACGACATCAGGTCGAGCTGAGTTTTTCGGGGGCTCACGGACTAGTCAGCTATAATGGGGAAGAAGACTACTCGACATTGAGAACGCCCCGCTTGATACAGTCGCTCACAAAGGGCAAGCAAAGTCAGAAGAAAGCAATCATCACATCGAGCTACAATGATTCAAGACAAGGCAATTCTCATCACCGGCGGAACCCGGGGCATCGGAATGCATCTGGGTGAAGGAATGCTTGCAGAGGGGCGCGAAGCGCGTCATCGCCACTGGTCGCTCCATTGCGTCCACGGATAAGCACAAAAGGATATCGGGAATGACGACCGTGTCATCTGGGTGGTTTGTGACCATAGCGTTGCCTCCGATCGAAAGCAACTGGCGGACAAGCTCTCTTCACTTCCCTTGGATGGCATGCTCCACAACGCTGGCATTACCGCAAAGCGCGACCTCATGAGTGACGACGAGCCATCCATTTCCGAGGAGGATGAAATGACAGTCAACTTTATTGCTCCCGTTGAGTTGACAAGTCATCTCCTGGGTGTCCTCTCCCAACGAGGACCCGACGGCGCCTTTGTCTGCTTTGTCACTTCTGGATTGGCGTTGACTCCCAAGAGAGCTTCACCGATTTACTTGGTCAGCAAGGCGGCTCTTCGGTCCTACACCAAGTTGCTACGAGCACTGCTGAAAGCCACCCGGCCTTCCGTCAAGGTGATGGAAGCCTTGCCACCAGCAGTGGCTACGGAAATGACAGCCGGGTTGGATAAGGGAGACAATATGATGAGTCCAGAGGCCAGCGCCAAAAGCATCGTTCAAGGAATCGATGCAGGGAAACTCGATAATTACATCGAGAAGACCTACTGGTTCAGATGGATAGATTGCCCCGGCAATTGGAGAATCCATGATAATCGACAAGCCTTGAATGACTAGATACGAGTGTACGGGGCAAGAGGCGTGTCCTTTCTAGCTAATTGTCACAGTCTGATTATTGTTAGAGCGATGTCCTTGTGAAGCTTCATTGGATACGGTGTAGTACCGTCGTAGAGATTCAAGATCGATCGTCGTTATGCATTATTCGAATTTCATTTTCAATAGTGAGGATTCAGTAGCTGATCGTCACCCAGGCTTCCTTCCCCGATCCCTTTTTGTGAGTATCCCACCCATGTTCCAGGTTCTTACCCAACAAAAGAGGATCCTTGGAGGCGGCGCTCCAATTCATTGGGGTTGCCTGCTAGTTGTGAATCAATATTGGCCAGCTCCGCACGAAGCGAGCCAATGTCGGCGTCACTCAACATCAAACTTTGGTCGTAATCGTTGTCGCTGTTGGAACTCTGCGAGAGTCTCGTCGCACCAGGGGGGGATCCGTCACTCAAGTTAAAGCTAAAGTTGAGCTCATTCTCCATGGCTTCCAGCCTTCCAATGCTCGAAAGTCTCAAGTCATCCTCGTCCGTCACCCTTGGATTGTTTGTTGTTGATGATTTGAACACCTCAGGTTCACTGGTGCGTGGATTCTCACCTTGACGGTCTCCGCTGTCATCGAGTCCGTCCGAGTAGCTCGTTTCTTCTTCTTCGTCTTCTTGGTTGTCGATAGCTGAATCGTTACTATTGGAACCATCCAACTCCGGCCAGACCTTGTCACTCTCGTCGCTCATAAGAGTACTATCACCCGCACTACTGTCACGATGGTTCTCACTTGCTTCCATTGCAAACCCACTGTGAGAATTCTGAACGCCATCGACGAAAGCAAAGCAAAGATGCACAAATGAGCCCGTGACCTTACCTATCCTCCATTTCAACCGTCTCGTGCCGTTCGGATGGGTCCTCCGAGATTTCAACATCTTGTGCTGGTTCGTAGTCACCCGTTTCTTCCGCCATGCGCTCGACCAAGGACTATGCGAGAAAGAAAGGCTGGGTAAGCGCGACATGGACCGATACGGCTTTCTTCCGTTTCGAGCAAAACTCATCGTACCATTTGTTCGAGCATTGCAATCAAGGCCCTTTCGCGTCCCTTGAACTGTGTCATCATCCTACAATTCATTTTATTTAAAATTGAGCACAGGGCAGTCAATAAAAGGCATGCATACAAGATGAATATCGTGTGAGAGATTGACGGCGAAGGAGAAACACAAGAAATCCCTCCGTTTATTGTGACGCACCTATCAATGTTGTCCAGCTCTTCGGGACAGTTTTCTATATCGTCGTCGTCGAAAGGAGGTAAAGAGGCATGTGTCAGAATGCATTTATTTCGATCGATACACCAAAACAAAGAAAACCACTGACAAGAGTTTAGCAACCACCTACCTTGTACCAGTTCTTCGACTCGTCGTCGATAGTGTTCTTCGGCTTCGTCAGACACGCTGCAGTCGTCATCATCACTCGGAGGATCATCATTATTATCGTAGGGAGCCTCGGGAGCGTTTTGACTATCATTATTCGGGTCGTCATTGTCGGTGCTCTTTTCCTGCAAATCGTCGCCGCCGCCTGCTGGCGTGGTTCGTTTGAGGTAGCAATAAATGGCCAATAGAATGCACACCACGGCCGCCGTCACGGAAAGACAAATAATGAGAATCAACATGATGGTATCCATACCACCACCTTCTTCTTCTTCTGACGGTGGAGTGGTGGATTCCTCCTCGCGTGGGGTCGGATCCAAGGGGGGTGGTGGTATGACTGGTTCCGAAGCTCCTTGTACTTGGAATATGGAATTGGGATCGACCTTGTCGAGTTCTTGCTGTAATATTCCTTGATCAATTTGCGATTGGGTTTCTGCCACGACCGTGTCATAGACTAATACCGGTGGATCTAATGTTTGGCCATCGAGACTGACATTGTACTGTGCAAATGCCGTGAGACACACGTGACCATCGGTTGCAGTGCAATCCTCCGCATTATTGGTGGTACGCAGACTGGTTATGGTGGCCGTATCGGGATCGTACCCCAGTGTTTGCAATTGTCGTCGCCGACGGAGCCGTCGGGCAGTGGCATTATAGTTGCCCATGGTGACGACGACATCTTCTGCCACTTTGGCAAATGCCATGGTGAGAGTCTGGATTTGATCCGGTGGCGCCAAGGATAGCACTTCTCCAGTTGTGTTGGTTGTGTTGGAATTCCAGTCATCTTGTGGTGTGGAAACCACAAAGGAAGAATAGATTTTGATAGTTGTAGTGGCGATTGTGGTGGTGCTATTGTTGTTGTTGGTTGTGTTATTGCTGTTGTTGGGTGTTGTGGTTGTCACTGTGGACGAGCTGGTGGGGGAGGCCGTGGTGGCTAGGGTGGGGCTATTGGTAGTCGTGTTGTTGGAGGTAATACTTGTGCTCGTGGGTGATGCCGTGACTGTATCATTGTTGCTTATTGCTACTGGAGGACTGCTTGAGTTCGTGCTCGTGCTGCCAGTGGATGGAAGCAATGTGGGTGTTTCTGTATCATTCGTGGTGATGATACCAGCACTACTATCGGTAGAGGTGGGAACATTGGTTATTGTGGGAGTAATGGGAGTCAGTGTAGGTTGTTGTGTAGGTTGTTGTGTGGAGGGTGATATGGATGGAGGATTGGTTTCTCCCACAGAGGGAGTATCAGAAGGAGATAAAGTTACTTGAGTAGGTAAAATGGAAGGAACAGTGGAGACAGAAGGAGCCATGGAGGGCATGGTGGTACCAGTACCAGTACTGGTAGAATCAGTATCGTCGATGGTAACGACGTCATCGTCATCCAGCATGGTAGTGTTGCTGTTGTTGGTGTCAGATGTGGAGTTGGCAGCTTCTGCTTCAGCTCCTACTTCTGCACTGGTTCTCATGGGACCACCACCACCAGATTGCTGGACTCCATCCAATTTGGCGTTCTCTCGGAACGCGGGATCAAGAAATCCTCGTGCCATACTGGTACTACCTGTACTCATACTTGTACCTGTACTAAAGATATTGCTGTGGAGTTGTCGTCGTCGTCGTTGTCGTAACCTCTGCTGTTGATGTCTCGTGTGGGCTTGCTGTTGTGGTTGTTGTTGTTGGGCTAGTGCCACTGCATTCGGAACCACAGCTACTGCCACTGCCACTGCCACTGCCACTGCTACCCATAGCGCAGCATACTGAGACTGCAAATGCCGTCTCTTTCGTATTCTAGATGATGGATAACACTCATTATTTGTTGTCATGGTAGAATGATTGACTGATTGGAGTGAGTAGATAAGTCTACCCAATCACTTGGTCTCTGTTGTTCCCAGGGTTGCTTGGCCAGTTTGGATGGCAGTTCGGATGGCACTGAACTCTGGGGTACCGGTACCGGTAGCTGGCTAGCTCTAGAGTACTGTATACCCAGCTTTGCCTTCTTTGCCTTCCTCTACGCTGCTCTTTGTTGGTTGGTTGGATGTATCTATGTGACAATAATAAGGAAGTTTATTTCGTCCGCTGTGGCCAAAGGGACATGGCCGCCATTGTCGAAAGTTTTGGTGAGGCTCATCAGGCTTCTGTATAGTCTTTCACAGGACCACTTTCGCAGGTCACGATGACTCCAAGACCAACAGCCTGTTGGCTTATTAATGTCACCTGCGATTGACAGCTTGACTGGTTTACAATTGTTTTAAAGCCACGGACGCAAACGGCTCGTCCTTTGGGCTTTGGGTGATCGTAGCCCAGTCTGGGATACTCCATGTCCGATACTAGTACCCAAAGTTCTACTACCGGTACCGCACACCAAGGGCATCCACGCAACACCCAGATATCCAGACGGGCTACTCTAGCTAGCTAGCTGTGGCTAAAAAGTACTCCAGAGCAGATTCAAGTATGTACGGTAGATAGCAAAAGGTGAGTGTGGAGTAATAGTCATTTCTGGCTTCTTGAAGCGCTGAAGCGAAGGGCAACCCCTCAAAATATCAACGACCAAAACAGTGCAACAAGCAGTCACCAACTTGAACTGCGACTGGAACTGCAATACATGTACATGATGTACTGTATGGTACCGGTGCTGCTGCGATGTTAGAGGGAGCCTTTGGTAGAACTGTAGTCTACCGGTAGCTACCTTTTTGTCGAGTGGTGGATGCCCGACAGCAGCGAGGCAATGGCTCTGCAATGCCAAGCTAGCATCTCTTCAGCCCGGCCAACCACCAAGGACGAGTACCGGTAGGGTAGGCAGCCTTCTATGCTACAGGCTCCTGGCGGATACAAAAGCTTTCTGTTTACTACGGTACCAGTAGCTAACTACGGTAGAGGGTTAAGTTAGAGGAAGGGAGCGTAATGGATGTAGAGTCCTAGCTTATTCATGCAGTTTAGTTAGTTAGTTATTTTCAGAGGAGATTTGTTGGAGTTTAGAGGAAGGAAGTTCGTTTATTGCTTGGAAGTTTTGTGTTCTAGCTTTTTTCTCTCCTGTATGCATGCTGATTGTATGATCATGACGACGACAGGGCCACCATGGCATCACCATGAGCAATCATTTGGGCCAATCGAACGGCCGGACGAGCCAATTTTTGGTAATGCCGACTCAGAGCCGTGGCTCGATAATCGGGAGAAAATTGGTGTGCACGCTGCAATAAAACGTGTTGGGACTGCAAAAAGGTGCGAATGACTTGTTTGCGGCGTTGACGGACACATGCCACCGCTTCCTTTTCCAAGCCACGGGCAGTACTCGACGAGACAAAGGAAATGGCGTCTTTAATGGCGACACTTGTAGTACTTGTTGTAGTAGAATGACAGGCCATGCCAAGAAGCTGTGTGATTTGATGCACATAGTAATCACTGCTGCGATGATTGTGGAGGACGTGGGCTTCGCGATGACGAATCTTGGACAATTCTTGGGCAGAAAACCAGAGAGTGTCTGTATCATGGTGCGTGCGGTCTACAACCTCGGTGGTGTTTTGCGCCATGTCAAAGCGGACCGATTTCTTTTGCTTGCTGCATGTTGTACTGGTAGTACATGTAGTAGTACGAGCCCGTTTGTTGCTGGAACGGAACATGATGGGACAGCAAATAGCGGACGAACTGCGTTTTCGTGAAATCATGCATTGTGGCTTGTTGTTCATCATGGATACATCAGCCAAGGGCAAGCGATGATGAGCAGTTGGAATGGATGTCATCAGGATCTGAGTTGCCATTTTGGTTTGGTTTTGCTTGCTTTTGAATTACTGAATAAAATATATATGAGTTGAGTTGTCCAAAAAAGTGAGTGGCACTTGGCAATGTTGTTGTGGTTGCCAATGAGATAGATGATTGAAATGTTGTGAGCCCAATTTTCGTCCTTCTCGAATGTCATTCATTTCATGTGGGTGACAGTTCCTCTCGCTTGCTGGTGATGGATGGATCATTTCAACGGCTCGTGCTCGGTACCACTTTTGTGGACGTTTACTTAGACTACTTATTAGTTACGGATGACTGTCACTCCTTGCTTCTTTGTCTTTCAAAGAGACACTCCGATCGGCCGTGGGGAAGCAACACTCCGAAAGTCTTTTGACATATTCCACTCCGAATTTGTCTTAAAAAACTCTTTGAAACAGGGCAACCTTACGCGAAATCGCGGTTTCAAACGATCAAATTAAATGGGGTTCCGCGTATTTTGGCGGCTTTTTGGTTCGTTCTTATCATTCGTGGTGGTCTGACTGTCAGCTGACTGTCTCATGGGACTCGATGACCCAGCGGGACATCCATCTTCGAGTCAAATCACGATTCTTCTGGGAGTCAACTAATTGCGGGAGTGACAGTCGAGTCAGGTTCACAAGATCGCAGCTGCTTTCTTGATTTTTGGTAAGATCCGGCTGCAGAATGGAAGACAGAAACCTCTTCCAATCTGGCCAACTTGCACGCGGCTAAACTACCCACTCGGGCCTTTAGGTAGCTATCTATCATAGCTGTAAAGGTCGGTGCCACAGTTGCCGCTACGAGATGAGCCTTCTGTGTTCTGTGGATCTAGCTAGGTGGAAAGCTGGCAGCAACCTAATGGCATAGACATAGGCTAATAGGCTCTGTCATGAGCCAGCATGGTAGCAGTAGCCAGTGGGGTTGGGGCTCATTTCACCAGTCCTGCCTGCCATATCCTCTGCACCTACCCACAGTACCGTACCTAACGTATCTTCTGGGTTGAGTTTGCTTGCTTCGGTAGTACCGCCGGCAGCACCGGTTGGCTGACCGAGCGACTGGTTTGAAGGAAGGTGCGGATGGCAGTCGGGGTACTGGCACGCAACCAACCTGCTTCCGACACGCTTCTGGTAGTCTACTGCTGCTGCAGCGTAGTATGTAAGTCGCTCTCAGGCTGGGGGTCACAGAGGACCTTGGTTGCATCCCTTCTTCCCCGACCGGCTAAGTAAACTACAACTACTACAGTCTGTACTACTAGCTAGCCACTAGCTAGCTAGCTACTAGTAGTAGCTCTGTCATGGTGGTACTACCTTGTGGAGTACCTTGTGTGACCTGGCTTCTATGGTACGGTGTCTGTACGGTATCTTTTGAGGGGCACGCAAAGAAAGATTTCCACGCCACTCTGACTGGGTAAACACGACTGCTGGTTTTGTAATACTGTAGCGCTTCAAGTTCGAGTTTGTCTTTGTTGTTTGGGTTGAAAAGGAACGGGAGGTTGAAGGTTCCTATTGCACCAGTTCAACAACAACCAAATAACCACCACATCTTCATGTAGCCTTGCTCAGTAGTCTACTAGGCAGCAAGTAATAGGAGTCTGTGTTTTGGCTGATTGAATCATTCGTCTAGCTAGTCAGTAGAGGTCGTGGTGGCATTCGTCCGTTTGGCAAGCAAGCAAGTCCTGCATCTACAGTGGTATTCTAAAGTAGTCAACCGTAGCTGCCAAACTAATAACTGTAGTAGCGCCACGGTGGTAGGTAGTGGCCATGGCAAGCAGTTTTAGTTGTCGGTTCGTCGCGGCTATAATACGCGGAAAGAACATTGGCTATGTATGTATCAATGTGTGCCTATAACCACGTTTGAGCGATGGGTGGGCTACCGTACCTGATCAGATTACTCAGGAGCTGGTTGGTTGGTTGGTTGGTGTGCTTGGCTTGGCTTGGCCCAACCCCCGATGCAAGAAAGGATCTTTGCTTGCTTGCTGCTGCTGGCTCTGGATTCTTGGTCTCGCCAAGAGCTCCCGTTCTATGATTGTTGGGTTCGTGCTAGCTAGCTAGGTGGCCAGCCAGCCAGTTGGAGCCGCAGTCGGGGCAAAAGATCGCCAACCGAGAGCAGATCGGGGTGTCGCTCGCCTCTACGCAGGTTCATCATCTATTGCGTGTGCGTGTTGACATGCATCTAATCTAATGATGTAGCGTACATGCAGTGGGTCCGTCTAATGATGTAGTGTAGTGTACATGTAGTATGGTTGTGTTGATACTTTTTGCCTTTATACTGTACATTTAGGTTTCAAAATTAGCATGGGAAGAGGGAGGGAATAGGAAGGTTGTATCTTTAGCATGATGATGAGTGTTGTTTACATTGTTGAGGCAACGACCTGTGCGTCTCCTTGTGCCAATAACCGTGCAAACCGCGAGGCGGGAAGCGCCAGTTTGCGATAGTGCGACGCCAAAATCTCGGCGCCCTTATCACTACTACAAGTAGTAGTTGATTGCTGTTGTTTGTTCCATGCGACCAGCGCCTTTTGACTGGTGAGAACATTTTGGACAATGTGTTTTTTGCGGAGTCGAAAGCAGGGTGTCATTTCCCGTTCCAATCCTCGCAGTGGACTATCGGCCAATTCAGTGATGGAGTGAGTGTCTTGCTCCATTTTCCCGCAAGCGGTGCCCAAGACACGAAACAAGTGTTGTTTGTAGTCTTCTTCTTGGCTAGAAGTGGAATTGTTGTAGAAACGAATCCAATGAGCGTCGCAACGTCGCGTGTGATGAAACTCTTCGGTGGAATACCAGACCGAAGGAGCATCCATTTCGGAAACACGAGGGACAATGTGGATGGTTTCGTGGGGAGGAATTGAATCGTCGTCGTCAAAGACGGCAAAGTGAACGCGCTTGCTCATCATCTTTCGGCGTCTCTTGTTGCTAGTACTGCTAGAGCATGGGCTGTCTTCCATGGCTCTCTTGGTTGTCATTGTCATTGTGATTGGGGTAATAAGTGGTCTTCTTGTGGATGATGTTGTGATAGAAGTTGTCTCGAGGTTCATAGTTACTGCCATTATGGTTGTTTGGATTTGTATGATAGCGTGTTTGGCTTTCTACAGAATAAGATTGATTGGTTTTATGGATGACAACTCGTTCGTGTGTCTGTATTGTGCCGATGCATTCAAAGTGGCTCGCTGACTTGACTGACTGACTGACTGATCGATTGAGTTGGAGTTGTTTTGTTGCTGTTTTGTGAGCGGATGGTTGTTATGTTGTGAACAGATAGATAGATGTCACATACATTCGGATCAGTGACAGAGGTCGGATGAGTCCACTCTCAAGAACTTCCGTGAAACGTGCTACTCGGGCCCAAGCAAGCTGCGGCCAAGTGGAGTCGTTGGAACATCTATCTATCTTTCGAAGAACGTGGGAGTGGTCATCATCACCGCATCGATCGAAATCCAAATAAATAATCTGGAATCCACATTATTTATTTGAAATCCACATTATTTATTTGGAATCCACATTATTTATTTGGATTCCACATTATTTATTTGGATTTCGGGAATAGCACCTCAACCGCCAAAGAACTCGATCGATGTGTGTAGAAGTTGTACCAGTTCCTACAGAGTGGGTACAGTAGGAGAGAAGCCCCACTTCGATCGAGCACATGCAGGACTTGGTGCACACAAAGTCCTCATTCGAACCATGTGTCATCGCAGATGAGATCCCTTCTCAATCTTGCCAACACGTTCGTACCGGTACACACGCCAATTATTCGTACGAAAGCCCCAAGATCCAATCCACAAGTAAGATCCAACAGCTACACCGAGTAAAGCCCCAAGGTGTTTTGGTCGCTCCTAAAATGATCGGCCTCTATTTTAGCTGCCTCCTATTTTGGCCAGTCTTTAGATCATCTCCCATTCGCGCAGGGTGCGCGAAATATCCCGTGATATTTTGGGTGGTGGATATAGGGTTACCATTCGTGGACTTATGAGGCGCGCCATTTTAGCCAGCCCACCTGATTCAGGCGGACTGGTAGCTTCTGTTGCCAGCAAAAAAGCAAGCCGATCACCCCAGGACGCTCCAATGATGGATTTCACCGTACCGTAGAGTACCACCGTAGAGTAACTCGAAATAATACAATAGAACGAAAGACCCACACCACACCACAACAACACAACCACAACAAGACCATGCCAAGGCATAGGACTGCTCCGGCACCAGCCACCGCCGCAGCAGCGGCGGCGCAGGCCGCCATGAACCCACCGCTTGTTGCTGCACGAGCTACTGGAGGAATGCCATTGGCGACGGTGCATGAAACTATTGCAACTACTAGGATGAGAGACTTTGTGAATGATGCAAGACAACGCATCATCCCAGACAACACCAAGTGTGCCTACAATCCCAAGATACAGGAGTTTGAAAGCTTCTGTGATCTCAACTACTCAGCCAGCCCATTCAAGCAGAACATCAGCTATGAAAAGGTTCTTAGGTTTATGTTCTACCAGGCCTTCAGAGAGCAGAAGAGCAGAGGTGGCAACAAAGCAAGGAGGCAAAACGGCGCCAAGTTTGACCAGGAAGATTACCAGAAGGTTTGTGGAGTCTTCTTTGACACTGCGAATCCACAGCTACAGTATCCCACACCCAAGAAACCTCTCAGTTTGCAGAGTTTCAATCAATACAAGACAGTAATGCGCAACATTCACACAGATCAGGTTGGACGCAATGTCTGTAATCTTGCGTGGGAGTTCATCTGGACACAGGACCTCAAGAACTTGGCCAATCATGTGAAAGAAAGGGCACCTGCCCTGAAGAAAGCGCAGTATGCCGAGAAGATGGACGGTACATTTGCCCCATACCAGATTGTGGACAAGTATCCGGAGCTGGAGCAACGATTCTGGAATGACAGTCACTGCACCGCACACCGGTCACTATCGACCTACTTACGGCACAGGGCTTGTTTGCTGTATCTTACCTGTGGCATATTGCGTGGTGAATCAATCTACAAGGCAGACGTATCAGACTTTTTTGGACTTAGGCCCCCAAAGAAAGATATTGATGTACACGCAATGTTCCTGATGGTGATGCAAATTGCCCAAGGCAAGACGACACAGGGAAAGATGCAATATGGACGTGCTACCCGTCACAAAGATGTACGCCTTTGCTGCATTGGGGCTATTTCGTTCTACATGATGTTTCGCATCTATGTCACCAACGAATTCCAGAGCATGACCGTGGAGGATTGGATGAACAACGAGACCTGGTTTGACATCAAATTTCTAGTGGACGTCTACAGCAATGACAAGACCAAGGAAATGAGCAATGACAGCTACACCGACCACATCAAGAAGGTTCTGAAAGATCTTAGGTTGCCCTGGAACAAGCAGCTGCATCTTGGGCGCAATCTTGGCACAAAGCTCCTCAACCTCTTAGAAGTTTGTGCAGAAGAAGTCAGGCAGATGGGTCAGTGGGAGCAAAAGGTGTATGATACAAGCTACAGCTCCAAACTTCCAATGAATGCAATGAGAAACATGGCCGGCTTCAATTCTTGCAACGGCATGTACTACAATCTACGAACGACAGTGATGCCGTCACGAGAACTCTGCGAGTTGCTACCACTTGGCTTTTCCTTTGGAATGCTAGAAGAACTCCACGACGAGGACCCAGAGTGCGAGAAAGCAACCGCATTGGAGACTCTACGTTTTTTTCAGGACCTCTGTATTGTGTTTTTACAGGATGCTGCAGCCATGCTTGTGCTGCACGACGATCGCAATGGACACCCAATTTTCGAAGAGTTGCCAGTTTTCAACTCGGAACTTTTTAAGGTCAGTATACCGTGGCTTTCGTCCACTGGCTTTGTTGTCTGCTGCTCACCGGTGCTTTATTTACCACACTTTACAGGACTACTTAGAACAAATGAAATTGACACTAAGCAACCGTAGCAACAACAATCCGATGGAGGCCGACTTGGAGAAAGTACTCCCGGGCGTTAACCAAAGGCTTGCTGCTAACCATGACGCTGTGTTCAACTTGGGAGCTAAGGTGGACCAATTGAATGACACAGTGGGGAATGGTTTTCTTAGGCTCCAACAAGGGCAGCTGCAACAGATGCTAGCCCAGCAAGCACTCGGCAACACTCTAATTGAAGCTGGCACGAAAATGGTAGTGGAGAGTACTACAGAAGCTACTACCGAGGACGACAACGAAGAAGACGCCTTCTTTTCCACTGACGATGTAGAAGAGCTTTTGGAGGAAGGTCGATCCCAGGAACAGGGTTCTCCAATGGCTGTGGAACAAAATGGAACAGCGGGATCCCCACCAGACCTAGTGGCCGAATCGATCCCACTTATTGTTGATGGTGCTCCACCACCAACCGGGCCTGGAGATCACCGGAACTTCCGCATGCAACAGCGACATTCCTGCTTGGCGGACGTTTGGGACGAATGGTTTGGCCTCAACACTTATGCCGACGAATACGGTGGAATTGCAGGCCGGAATACAGCCCATGCCACTAAGTGGAGGAAACATCTGCCCCGCGACCTCTACTCATACACCAACCGACTGATCAAGGGCATTAGCGAGTATGCAAAAAAAGAGAAGATGCAGCCGATTGCAGTTGTCGCCGAATGGGAGGCTCTATTTCAAGAAGCCAAACTTTCTGTCGGCAACTTGGTAAAAGCTTTGCAGCGATTGAACTACATCAAGGTGGGTAAACCACGAGGCAAATCGAAACCAACGACAGCAACGGAGCTTTCGCAGTGAAGACAACAGCAACAACAACAACAACGATGGTAGGAGAGTAGGACAGTAGGAATAACAAAAAAGTAGTCAATTATTTTAAATTACTCTACTCTAAAAACCACTAGGGAGATCGCTGTCATGGAGGAAATCCTCGATCTGCTGGACACGGCTCTCCAATTGGAGAACACGGTTGCGAAGGGCATTATTCTCCTGGCGCAACTGGGAGTTCTCAAGTCCACTTGCCCCCACACGGTAGGGAGCCACCACGTACTCTCTCTGAGGGCGCCAGGCACCGAGACCCGCAATCTCATCCATGCCGCTTTCACTTGGCCCTTCGAAAATCTCGCGAATCGAAGACCACTTGACCCGGACTTTCCTGCCATCAAGAAGAAGCAGCCCACAGAACAAGGGCCCCTTGCTTTCCAGGAAGGTAGCTACCTGTAGGCGGTGGGCTCCGGTATGAATCCAGACACTCTGGAAGCTCGTGTAATCCTTCTTTACCATACCAGTCGTTGCTTTGGCTCAATTTGTGAGCAGTAAATCCATAAACTAGCTTAATTGTACACAGCACTTTCTAGCATACAGAAACAGTACTATCGCTGGACACTTTCGCACCAATGCGGTAAGTCGGCCTGTCGCCATAGGTGGCATGCATACTCGTTCCCCCTCTTAAGGCTTCCGTTACGGTACTCCGAAGCATGACTCGGTGTCAAACGTGACCTTCAATGCGAACCTCTAGTGCGTCACTCGTGACTTGGTTGTTGTCTTCGCAGAAATAGAATCGCCTGCCATCACTGTCGTGCTGGTGCAAATAGAAGAGTGGGACTGTCCACCCTGCCCGCTGACTGGTTCATTTGCCGGTCATCGGTGCACCTCTGCTCCAGTAGGGGTGCAACGCAATACTGCGCAGCACCAGTAGAGGTACGCATGGAAAAGCCCATATTGGCTTAATCCTAAAAGGGTCGGACATCCTAAAATTCTTTTTGGCCCAGCAGTAGAATGCTGGTACTCCTCTACCTATCCTAATCCAATCCTACCGAATAGGACTAAACTAATACTCAATAGATATCCAAAAGCAGGCCAAGCGCTATAAAAGAATCACTGTTGGAAACAAGACATACACCGGAGCCACTACCCATAAACATCACTATTGCGATCTTTAAATCATGCTACTGTACCTCATTCAAAGAACCACATAACTCCAGAGTCTTACTCACTCATGTCCACGTTTGGCTGGCTCATCAAACACCGGACTGACACACTGACTTGACTCGACTTGACTCAATGTTAGCACTATTCCTAATAACGATGCCGGTCCTGCAAAATGGCTTTTTTGATCGCGGACGGAAGCCCGCCACCTGGCTGGATCTTCTCGAGTGCTCTTTGTTTTTTCATCTTCCCAGAGAGGACCATGACGACGATGATGAGGTTTGCTTTGCTACTGCTACTGTCCTGCCTTTCTGGTGGAGTAGTCGCTCAGACCTGTGACACTACTGTGTACCATGTGAGTCCTCAGGGGAATTGTGTGCAGTGTCAAGACTTTTGTCCTCCCGAATGCGATCCCGACAATGCCGCCTATCAAGTCTTTACGGCCAGTGATTGCGATGGACAAGGAACCGTAGGAGGAGGTGGAGGTGGTGCTGGTGGACCGCCACCGGATGCTCAAGGGGGAGGAGGTGGTGGAGGTGGAGGAGGGCCGCCGCCTGATGGTGGACAAGGAATGGGAGAACAAGGTGGCGGAATGATGATGATGAGTGACGAATCCGTTGGAGCAGCCGGATCTTGCGATACGACCGTATTTCACTTGAATCCATCGGGAGAATGCACGTTGTGTCCCGATCTCTGTCCTGCCGAATGCAGTCCCAATAGCACCAGTTACATGGTATTCACTTCAGATGATTGTGATGGAATGGGGACTACAACAACAACTGCAGATGATGCTACGAGTGGCGGTGGAGGTGGAAATGGAATGGGTGGAGGAAATGGAATGGGAAATGGTGGAGGAGGACAAGGAGGAATGAGTGATGATTCCAATGATGAGGAAGACGTCGAGTGCGACACTACCGTCTATCACAGAAATCCACAAGGCTCCTGTAAATTATGCGGATCCAATTGCCCCAAAGAGTGCAAGGCGGGGGGCGACAACTACCGAGTCTTCACGTCGGAGGATTGCAGTGAAGCCTCACTTGTCGTCACAGAACAAGAAGATATTGAGGTAGAGGGCGATGGAGTCGCTGTAGAAGCTCAGACGGAATCTTCGGCCGCATATTGGAGATTGCAGGGGACTGCTGCAGTGGTATGGCTTGTACTAGGGGTGTTGTTTTGAAATAATTAGTCGAGACGGACGGATGCGGTTATGTATGACCCAGAGCAAGGGAAAAAGTGGAACCTTTGTGGTTTGTGTTTGGTATTTTTTTTTGCTGTGTAGGTTTGTGTCTCTATATACCGGTAGTGCCGTAGCAGAGATCTGGAGACTGCCGACAACCAACTCGGCAATCGAATCGAAGCATTCAAAGCAACAACCCGAGAGCATCCTGCCGACGAGTGCCAACAATCTACCAAAAATGAATACAGTAGTCATAGTTTAAGCACACGTTCAGGGACGAAATGCAGAACGACAGTGCGAGGCAAAAAGTCGCAGTGCAGTAGCTCTAGGGATAGGGCGACGGTCAACGAGGCCGACGCCACCGTAAGTCATACATGTAAGTTCCGTGACGAAAATCCGGTGACTGGTCTCATAAGAGTGCCATTCCACACTTCGATGCACGACGTCGCACTAAAAGGATCTTTCAATATGTAGTTAGCTAGCTCTAGCTCTAGCAGTAGGACTACAGTGCTAAACGAGGCCGGCGAAGCAACCACAACTCATACAACCTTTTCCGTTTACTACGTTTAATAAAGCTCCAGCTACCGAATGATGGGGAATCCATCCCGCCATCATAATATCCCTGCTTTCGTTTTTTCTCCACGTTTTTTCGGGTGTTCGTACGTTCGCTCGTTTGTCTATTTTCACCATGACTTGCCTCACATGCAATCCATCGACCGTTACCGACGAACGTTGGTCAACAAGGTTTTCTTACCACCAGGAGCGGCATTCACATCCAGATCCTCCGTTCCAGCACGCAAAAACAATGTGTACCGGTGCTTGTCGACGGGCCAGCCCTCCTCCACCATGCTGTTCTGGTACACCATGGACACGTACTTGTCCGGATTGGCTCGGAACTCATCCACACCCTTCTGGATCGCTGTTCCTGCCACATCCTTCTTGTTGATGTCCGAAAAAGAATAGCCACCATTGAACGTGGTGACAACAATCTTGTGGGTAGAGTTGGGATCCGATGATGTGTCGATGGCATGAGGAGACCATTTTTCCTGTTGGGGAGCATGCCGGATAATGGTCTTTTTCTTGGGAGACACAGGCGCCGGCTTGGGTTTTGGCTTGGGAGCTGTTGCCTTTGGTTTCTTGACAAAGTCATCCTCCAGATCGTTCACATAGTTGCTGTCTTTGATTCGTGTCATGTTGAGAGTACAGACGTAGACGCTTGGAAAGTAGCGGAAGAATTCCTGTTTGGTCACCCAGCAGAGCCCGTTATCTTCCAAGGACGGATTCAGCTCATTTTTGATGTTGGGGTACTTGCCCCATCCCGGACCCGATCTCATGAATTGCCCTAACATACAAACAAACAAGAGAGGGCAGGCCCAAACAAAGCAAAGCAAAACAAGAACTCTCGAGTGAGCAAACGACCCCATGATTTCGTCGTGTTTCTGTGTTGCAACGCACCATTCTGGAGTTCACCACCTTCGCCCCATGGGTTTCGGATCAGCAGTAGATCGATGCCCGTCCCACAGATGTTTTGTCGACTGTCAATGATGCTGTAGGCATGATTGTCGACAATGCCATCAGTAGTATTCCTATCTGAGGTACCCGCTGTGGCAGCCCCAATCAAGAAATTGTGTTCATCCCAGGTAATGATTCTCTGGAACAATTCATCTTCCGTGAGATCTCCATCCCCGCCACCCCCAGCCTTGGGCCAGCTGACTTTCCATAGCATGGAAGAAGAGTCATGTGGCGAATTGCTGTGTGGAGACCACTTTTGGTCCTCTGGATTGTACTTTGCACCGCACCAGTACTTGCTGGTACCTCGTACCTTTTGGATGACAAATTGGTTTCGGGAACCCGTCAACATGGGCCAGGCATCCGTGGGGTTGCCGCCTGAAAGCACAATCCGAACAAGTGAGTTGCACATGGACATGGTAGAAACAAAGCTTCGTCCTGTTTCTTTGAAAAATACGCACCAACAATTTTATCGTAGCCCCCACAATGCATCGCAACGGCCTTTTCTAGGTAACAGACCCAGAACTTGCCATCCTTGGAAGGTTTGGCACCTAACAAGTAGCCAGTTCCATCATCACGCACTGGCAGTCGTTCATCCACGACAATGTCCACTTCTTTCCATGTTTTCAAATCCCACAGTGTCACTGTGTACTGATTGGGTTCATCGGTTGGTTTATCCTTGATTGTGCCTGGCTTTGACTTTCGAAAGAGCCGCTGGATGGCCCAATCGAAATCCGCAAGACAGGCAATGGCCGAGAGCAACCAACAATCTCCCACGCATGCTCCTTGACGCACATGATCCGGAAATGCTCCTTGGGCCCCAATCATATCCATATTGGCTTCATCGCCCAGTCCCATGCCACGACCGGGCAGCAGCGGCATGCGCTTGGACGAGGTCGAATGGAGTTTTCGGTGCAGAAATGTCATGTTATCCGTGTACTTGTCACAAGACCTTACGGGCAAGAGATTGTCGGGAAAGGGCTTGAGTCGACGATAAATGTGTCGCCAAATGACACGTTGTCCTGTGCCATCGTTTTTGACATCGAGGGGTTGATATCCAACCGTGCCTGGACGTAGAATAAAATGGTAGTCTTTGGGTTCGGGTTGTAGAGGGTGAAAATGCATGGCCAGATATTTTTCGGGATTGTGTTTGAATTCCTGAATGGCTTCCTCATCGGTGGTGAATGTGTTGATTTTAATTTCCTTTTTCTCTTCAAAACTGGACATGCCATCAAAACTGGTCCGGACAATTTCCCACTTGTCTCTGAGATGGGATTTCCACACGGCCAATTTTGCGGCCTCTTGCTTTTTCTTGTAGTCTTCTGCTTCGGGACCTCCCATGGCCAACAGGGCACTCATTTTGGGCACCCGTTCCGGAGGTGGTCCATGGCCGAACGCTTTGGCTCGTTTTGCCGCTTCGGCAAGTCGTTTGACCTGAAGCTCTTTCCACCGGTTCATGCGGGCCGTGACAACTTTTTGATGGGCTGTGTGGGTTTGTGCTTTGACACGATTTTCCTTTTCTACCCGAATCTTGCGCTCGGCTTCATCTTGTTTGGCACGAGCTCGAGCGGCAGCTCCCAATGCAGCGGCATCTTGGCGGGCTTCACCAACATTCTTCTTGATGGGGGCAGCCCGAGTGGGAGAGAGGGATCGTGCGGCACGAGCCGGCTTTTTGTGGGAAGGCACTTGACTGACTACATTGGCAGGAGCCAATTCCTTCTTGACATTGTGACTCTTTTTCCATTCTTCATCCCGCCGCTTCCTCTCTTCCTCTTTGCGCTTCAACTCTCGTTCCTTCTCGGTCAAACGAGCCTCTTTCTTTTTCTCATAGGCGGAGATGCGATCTTGCAGCATTTTGTCGGCCTGCTTCACCGCCATCGGAGACAGCGACCGAGCGGGCTTGCGAGTGACGGGAATCTTCATTTTGCGTGTGTTCGTACTGTAGTGGGTTCCTGTAGAGGCAACTTGCACACTCCTAGCTAGCTAGCTAAGTAGCCAATCGTCCAATGCTAACGAACTAGCCCCTCCCCGTTCACGTTTAGTCTTTGTCAATGTGCAGCTCGAGGTGTGGAGGATCATCCAATGCCACCAACAACACAAGATAGAAGTAAACGTGAACCCCCACACAGAACAAATAAATAAATGAGACGGTGACGAAGAAGATCGAAAATCGAAAATGGATCTTTTCTAACGGCCGACGTCAAACCAACCCGGATGTAAATCATTACGAACAGTCATAAGCAAATGACCCTGCAATAAATCTCTTATTTGATTGATTAATAAGCCAGTCTATTTGTCAAAACACCAACCATCACACATTCTCTCCGCCTCTTGTTGTACCGTAGGGAGCCCATCCCTACCGGTATGGCACATCCACATGTATTGCGGACAATGACCTGTTTTGTCCATCTGAGCCTTGAGAAAAGAGCAACAGTCATCAAAGGAAGGAATTAAAGTCAGTGAGTCAGTCAGTCATTTTGCCCACTATCAGTACCGTACGATAAATTAGTTTGCAAAAGCGAAATTGCCTGCTGAGCCATGCAAACTCTGAATCTTCCGTTCTTGCTTGCCCAAACAAACGCTCAATACTGCTGACAACCACCTGTGGTAGATAGCTAGCCTACCAGTGCCACTAACGTACTACGAACTAGTACAGCTATGATATGCTCAGATCCCAGGCATTCACCCTGCAGCAAAGGCATGAAAGCGGGCTCCACATGCTGGTATTCGTTTGGGGCTCTGCCCTGGCTTCTCCGCTTACCGGACCTTGCTCTCGGCCATGGTGCAGTTGTCTATCCTCCGTGACATCTACTAGCCAGTAGTGATCTTGCGCTTACAGCATTCGCACGATCGTGTATTGAGAATTGCATGCAGACTGAAAGAGCTACTAGTAGATCTATGTAAAGCGTTTTGGCACCTTCATGGGACCAGTGGGATTTATTCTTCTAAGATATTAGACAATGTGGCCGCGAATGCCGTCAATCAAAAGACACTGCTCGAATCTTGAGGGTCAATCGGATGGGTGGAAGACTGCTTTAGACAGGTATGTCAGGTAATATAGGATTTGAGAAAGCAATATTCTAATGAAAAAGGTTTACCAGATCTACCTGGAGCATTTCTGTGCTGGCCAGCATTCGCGGATACTATGACTTTCTGATGGAGGGGGAGCACAGGCCCAACCAGTTATCTATGTCTTTTGAACCGGTACGGTACGGTACCCGTTACCAGTAGAAATTGATGCTCATTTATCAAAACCATCCAGCCGCACCTTTTTGGATAGGCCCTCCACCCTCCATCTCCCATAAAATCAGTTGGACGCTCCAATCGATTTCTTTGCAATACCTATTATTTCACGAAACTAGACAACTTTTTGTGCCATGAGGATCTTTCCTTCAGCTCTCTTGCTCGTCGGCTTTCTCGGCCGGAGCCATGGTGAAACTCTTGCTCTCCCCACCAATGCGGTGCGTCCTTGTCGTGGCTCGTTTGAATGATGTCTGTGAGCTGGCTCGTACTATTGTTGTCTTTGATTCAACTTCCTGTTCGTCGACGTGATAACTAACTGCTTCTGATCCTTTTGCAGTCTTTGGTATCCGGGAGTTTGTATCTGCGTGGTCAGACGGATGGCGGCAGCACGACTGCGAGGAAGCTACAGGAGACGGTTGTAGAAGAGGTCGCGGCGGAGCCTGCTGTCGTCAATAACATAGGTAAGTTTCAGCTCAGTCGGTGCCGTGGAAACAACAATGGAACCTTCTCATTGCATCGATCTCTAGGTTACGTTTTTAAAGGATACGACCTTGTGATGGGGAATCCATTGGAGACTACTGGACTGGTAAAGGTCGACCAAGGCTTCCGTCAATCAATCTTTAAACAAACCAACTATGTGGAAACGGTAAGCGACTTCCCGTTGGTTACCTATACCGTATAGTAGACCTGCATGCACGGCCCACTCATTTAGTATTGTCGCCCACTAACCTACCATTTGCATCGACCCCCAACCCAGCCTGATAAGCAGTTCATGACCCCGCAAGGCGTCAACGTGGTAGAGTGCGAAGGATGCAACTTGGCATTTAGCTCAACCGAGGTTCGTTCCACGAGCGAGTACAAGAGCACACTGGAAGCAAAGGCCAAAGTGTCTGGATCTTCCTCATTTGGCGCTATCAAGGGCGAGTTCTCTGCTTCCGCTGGATACAAGGAAGCGAAGGAGAGGTTCGGCTCCAACCACGAAACCAGTACCACTTCGGAGGTTTCCTGCTGTGTCTACCAAGCCGAGCTCGAGAGCTTCAAGCTCCCACCCTATTCGAGCAACTTTGTTACCGCAGTCAACAAACTTGTGGCCGTCTTTAACAACAATCTGAATTTGGTTCCCTGGATCCGAAAGTTTGTGGATGAGTTTGGAACGCATTTCGTCAAAAAGGTCACGATGGTAAGTGCCACTTCCGAGTTCTGGAGGTCTGACACAGTGAAGTCATCTTACACTGTAGTTCGCTTGTTGATGTGTTCAAACTCGTTCGAGAAAGGGATCCATCTATGGCGAACAAACCTTCATCTCGTCATCCGACATGAAGAGTATGCTGTCGCAAGGGATCAATATAGAACTGGCGGCGTCGGCAAGCGGCGCCTTTGGCGCTGGCAAGGCAGAAGGCAGCCTGGACTATGACGCGCAAAAGACAATGACCTTCCGGAACTCCGCATCCAAGAGGAATGTGTACAGCCGAGGAGCCAAACCACCAGGCGATGGTGATGTCACAAAGGTGAGCGAGATAGGTAAACAGTCAGACTTGGTGCCCATCGTGTCTCCCACTCTCATCCTTTGTTCCCAATGACGCGGATATCAGTGGTTGGAACAATCCTCGAACAACCCTGTACCAACGTACACCGAGCTCCAGAGCATCTCTGACCTTCCGATCTTCGATGGCAAGGCAGGAGTGCGAACTGCGCTCCGGAACTACCTCAATGGATACTGTGAAGCCATCAACCCAGGACAATGCACAGCGGGTGAAGAAGGCGTGAATGCGATCATCAACCTAATCGTCACTGGTATGTATTATGACACAAACCAAGTTGAATTTCTGGACCACGCTAACACTCTACCTTTGATGTTGTGATTCGTATTGCAGACCAACAAGCCGGGATGCACGATCAACGTACAACAACTCAGCAGAACCAGCTGAAGCATTACGGAGTGCGGAATTTTGGTGCAATGGGTATTGGGGTCACAGGACACGGAACTTCGAATGCTTGGGTCTATGTGGGCCTGCAGGGGAAAATTCAAGGTACGTGAGATTAACCTCAGTGATGTGCTGAAGAAACTTGACCCGACAACACTGGCTCATTTTTGGTGTTGTTCTCTTGTTTTCACCAATAGGCGCCAAAGGCTGGGACAGGGGTTATAAGGCCAATGTACGTGCGGGCCGTTTCTTTTTCGTCTTATCCACTCCATCTTTACTCACCAACAATACTACTTGCTACCTTGCCGTGAAAGGTTGCCGACTTTGGCGCTGGGTATGATCATCGGGATCCCTACAATGTTCATGGCTGGTCGAGCAACGACAAGGCGTTTACCTTCAGATGTGATCCCAACACCGCCGTGGTTCAAATCAAGGCCACCGGTCATGACTCATCCAACAGCCAGGACAGGAGGTTTATCATTTCCTGTGGGGGTTTCCCAGGTATGGATATCATGGAGGCGGGCTGGAGAGACAATAACCTGGGAATGTCGAGTAAATTTTCTGACTTCCCATGGCGCAATGATTTCACCACCGACTTGGACTATACATGTCCAAGGAACCATGTGATGATTGGTGTCGAATCCGTCCATGATAATGGCACCGAACAGAGGTACGTGGCATTGGATGAATCGTGCAAAACATGGCCCTTTGAACTTGGATCTCATTTTCTTCTTCGGTTTCTCTCTGAGGCAGAAAGTGGAAGATTCTCTGCGGCAAGGTCATTGACAAATGGGTGGCCAACAGGATCTCTATTACTCCCTATATCAATGACCTTGAAAGAAGCTTCAGTTACTGGACCAGGGCCAACACTGTGTTGGTTGGACTCCGAGGTGCACGAAATACAGCCAGCAAGGACACCATGTTTCAGTTCATTGAAAAGGGTTTGCCCAATGGTGTCACCACCAATAGTTATGAATGGAGTAATTGGTTGAACACAAAGGATGCCAACGGCAAGGAGCAAGAACACTTTGACTTTTCCTGCCCCGGTGGACAAGGAATTGTTGGGATGTCATCCAATTTCAAGAGGAGCCCAAACAATCCCAACGTGGATCGCGAGTTTAAGTTTGAGTGTCGCTCCATTTTGAACCACAATCTTCTTCATGCGGATGGACGCACGGCACGACCCACTTCCCTCCCCGCGGATGGAGATTGGTCGTACATCTACCAAGGATTGGGTGTCAACTTTGCTTTGGAATGTCCCGCTGGAAAAATCTTGACTGGTGTGTCCGTCCGATACGATGACATTGCCCAGGATCGTGGTTGGAAGATCATGTGCCTGGAGCTTTCTAGGATCTGAGCGACTTGATAGGAGGCAGCGTGTACGCGGCCATTGTTCGTCTTTCTTGGGTGTGCAACACCTCTCTGTAGTTTGGGATGGTGTGCACTGTTGACCCTTAAAACAGTAGGTTTTCATTTTTAAGACATGAACATGAATGCACGGATTGATTCGATTCGACACGGGAAATCCTGTCCTCCGCGCAGCAATAGATTCATGCGGCCGTCCCACCCCCCATTCATTTGAGTCGAGCTATTTTTCTTGCTCGGTTTCAAATCTAGCAGTCCATTCTTCCCAATGCTCAATGAGCCCCGCTAACTGGGCCTTTGCAGCAGCGTTGGCTTTCATTTCAGCAACAAGCAATTGCTGCATTTCTTCCATGGACGGATATTCTTGGTCAGCTCATCCTGGCGACAGTAATCTCTCGTTGCAGGTTAGATTTGTGGTTGTTGTCATTGTCGTCGTCACCATCATCATGATAGTGTTTGTCGCCACAGTAAAACATGGTGTCGTTGCGATACAAAATCGGAGACGACCCTTGAGGTCTAGCGGTTGCGCAAAGCTCTCGACACAGGCATCTCTCCAAGCCTTGTGATTCTTGGTCCTTGAGATTCGTTTTGGAGAGTATAACTTGATCATGGATTCATTCCATCGACCAAAAGTGGGCGAGCAGAGGCGGTCTCCCGTTGTGCGCGAGGAAATGAGATGAAGTGTTCTTCGACCTGCCTGATCAAAAATGGGACGTGGCAACTGTTCCATGTAGATGTCCAAATAAATACTCTCGATGCAGGAAAGCATAGCGGGGCAGAGACATGCTATACCGATGGCCCTTTTGTGTGGTACTCAGGTATAGTTCCAGGATCCATTGTCGTTTTCGACGACATGCACTCGATAACCAAATCCGACCGTCCGGGAAGGTGACTGGGTCCAATGGAAGAATCCCGAGTCAATGGCTTGACAGCTAGCTAGCTAGCTAGCTATAGGGCCTTATTAGCACATCGTTGTCCATGCTTCGAATCCCCAAGGTGGGTGTTTTGGTTCAAAAATGACCTTGTCCGGGTGCAACTGAAGGAGTGAGTGAGTGAGTCTGGTGGATCCAGCTGTGGTTCACACCACCCACACGACTTGTATTTGTTCCACACCAGGACAACTGGCATCATTTCTCGCAACAAAAATAGATGGATTCCCAAGAGTACCATGCCTCCCGGAATGAAGAACCCCTTGATCAAAACAGGGTGGTATGTCAAGTCAAGACACCAGTCTCGTTGAATTAGAAGATCTAGCTAGTCAGAATCGAATCGAATCATCATGCTGGGTCTTGACAATGCGGTCTCTTTGGCACCTTGCAGGCTACTGTAGAGGGCAGTGTATATAGTTGGCGAGATGCCATGCTTCAACGCCACCGGTGTTTGTCTTTAGCCAGACTTTGGCAGTTTCCCCTGTAGCTGTACAGTAGACTAGTGGATGCTGATGCCGGTTCGATGGATGCATGGTGCCGTCTCATACATACTGTACGGTACGATCTGGTTGACCAAGGAAGAAGCAAGCACTCGGATCTCGCAAAGCCAAACCATTTGGCCCCTGTAATGGTCCTCACTTTCTTGCCCCTGATCCCACAGAACCTCTAGCTAGAGCTAGTCCTGAATTTGGACTGTTCTTTGCTTAAGCCTGGCCCCGGCTGGCTTCCATAGATAATTTCCCTACTCTAAACCCCCATCAGACTGGAGTAAAGGCCAGTTGGTATGATTCGATTCGATTCGATTCGATTCTCAAAGCAAAGCACAAAAAGGATGACAACTTGAAATTCCATCGGCGCATTCTCTCAGTTTTGTCGGTGTGGCGTCAATGCGTCAATCAACTGCTGTGCGTTTGACCGTCGGCCGCTTTTCCCACTCCACGGTTCCACGGTTCACAAACGCCACCAAAGCAATGACGCACCAAAAACTAAGGTCACATTTTCGTTCTGAGTGACTGTCACTCACTCGTCTCACCATGAGGCAACGCAGAAATCCATTCAAGAGCTCAAACATTGCAGCGAGTTCGAGGAGGGATACAGTACATACTGAACTGGATTGAATTTTCCCACATCAAGGCATTTACTTTTGTTGGATCCACAACAGCCACATGCAACTGCCAAGACAAAGTGCCAAAAAAGCGAGGCGAGCGGAACGACAAGAGCAAAATTCCTGTTCGCCCCCTTCTTGCAGCAGCAACGAACACAGTCTGCTGAAGCGACTTGCCACGAGTTTCCTGGTGTCTTTGCCGCTACTGCTGGCCCCCATGACTGTACCGCTAAGCCATGCTTCCAATTATGACGTGTTGTTTTCAACAGTGCAAGACCAAAACACTGGATTCGCAGCCTCGTTGCCCTCCAAGAGGGCCTTGCAGCAGCTACGAAACGAACAAGATTTGCAGAATGCGCGTCTCTTGCAGTGTGAAGACAGTGGACCCGACCAGTTCGAACAGTGTTTCTTTTATGGTACTACCGGTATTTCTCAAGCCATCAATATTGGAACCAGTCGAAATCAGGAACCACCAGTAGTTGTGCCATCCACAAGAGCTCCACTACGGGGAATCATGCCACCGGCGGCATCCAATTCCAAGATCACCAAAGGGGGTATCCCAACGTGGTGATGTTTGTTTGTTGTGTTGACTACGGTAGCTATCGAGTGGCAGGGACATGGTGCCAAGAAAGGTTTCATCACAACAGACTGTAAATTTCATTCCGTCTTTTAATTCGGATGCCTTGCAAATAACGAAGTTTTTTTAAACGGCCACACCTCGTCAGACAATCCCGCTGAACGGTGCGGTGACGAACCCACATACCTCAGACGCACAAATGCGCCCACTTAGGAATGGGCCTAGTGTAAGCCCCACACCGGAGAAAATGTAAACTCCGGTGAGTGCTGTACGACTAACTATCTAGGCTAGGCTGAATCGCCCGCTATTGCTATGGGAATCCCACATCGGTGCATAGTTACCTTGCTTGGGAAAGCTGCTCACGTGCATGCTCGTCCCTCACTGCTTTGTCTTCAACCGGAAGCCAATTGTCCAGCCATGCCTTGATATCCCCCGGCCCTCTGGCCATCTGTTCTTCCAGTGGTCGTTTGAAGATGATAGCAAGGAGTTGTTCTGGGAGTAGGTCCACTTTTTCATAAAGGAGCTCTACCTCTCGTTGGAGCTGCTTGTGTTTCTTGCGCCATTTTTGTTCTTGATCGCGGCCGTGCCTAGCGGCATTGCGATCCTCCCAGAGATTCCACCATTGTTGGATCAGAACAGAGGCCAAGTTGGTGACCCCCAGTTGTCAAGTCTTCGTGGTCTCCTGTGGAGATACCCTGCGCAAGTACGTGTCTTGGTGCTTGGTCCAGAATGTGGCCAATCGTCCTCTCAGGAAGTTGCCCCAGCCAATGAGGTTTTGGGCATCCACCAGGTCACGGTACCGTTCCGGATAATGCCATGGATGGAGGAATCTATTTTCAATGTGATATTGTAGGCCATCGAGCACAATTTCCAAGAGGAAGGGATCGGTGGAATCCTTTCGTAGCTTGGTACTGATCGCCCGCTGCATTTGACCTCTCCAAAGATCTACATCAACGTGGGGGCACCGGTAGACATGGTTCTCAGTTTCATGATCACAGCCGCAACGTGGGCAATGGTGGTCATAATTGGGATCATCTCGATGGACTCGTTTCCCAACTGGCAGTATAGTTGAAAGAGGAACTTCACTATTGTTGGCTTGTGGGCTTCATGGCGGTTGACAGCACAACCATGAGCTGTCCAGTCAACCAGTGCCGGTGTGTCTTCGTCCCAATCTGGGTTCAGTTTGACGATATGATCAAACAACGGCTGATCATTCCTCAAGTGCCGCAGTGTTCTTGGGAGTTTGTAGGTGCATGTACCTTTTGGGAGACGGAGCTGGGCCAGGTTGGCTGGGAATCGGAGCACCTTGGAATGATCTGCTGCCATGTGTCTGTTCATGTAGCTCCCTGCCAGTTTGTCGGCTCTGCAGTTCAGTTGAGCCTTCAGAGGCAGTCTTTCGATTGCCCTGATCTTATCCTGGTGTGATTTGATATGTTCCATCTTGGTGATGGCAGCTCGAAACGAATCCTCGGACGTCAAAGAGTTATTCGGGTACCAGCCCTCGTAGTCGAGACAGCCAGCACACTTGTTGGTAACGGATTCCTTGTTGCACAAGTGCACATAGTCTTTCATGCTGGTTCAGTCATAGAACTCCAGGAGTCTCCGGAGAAGGCAAGTGGGGGAAATGATGCCATAAGCCTCTGCCCTGTAGGATGTCGGAACAAGACCAAATACGGGACCAGAGCATCGAAGCACAATCTGACCGCGATTGTCGGCCAGAACTCAAGCAAAACTCGCTTTTCCAGCGTCAATGTCTGCAGCCCCATCACTCGCCACCCAGAAGGGCATGGCTGTGACAATCTGCAGGACGGAGTAAGGTTTCATCTCCAAATTCCCAGCGATGAACTGTCTGTTCCTTATTAGGAACTGGATGCTGAAACATCCAAAACTCCGATTCTTTGTTGTCCACTCATCAAAGGAGATCATCCAGAGACTGACACAACAGAGCTACTCGATATGGACACACAGAAGATATACCAATCTCACCTAGCGAACAAGACTCCCATCGACTGGTTCAGCAAGCTACAGTCAACAGTCGAGACCGCAGCATTCGGATCCGAATATGTTGCAGCCCGTACCGCCACTGAGCAGATCATTGACCTACGAAGCACATTCAGGTACCTAGGAGTACTGGTCGACACACCGACCATGATGTTCGGAGACAACGAGACGGTAGTCAACCCGCCTCAATGCCACACTCAAAGATCTAAAAGACACAATGCGCTTTCCTACCACCGTACTAGGGAAGCTGTTGCTGCAAGTATCTTGAGATTCATCATATCCCTGGATCACTAACCCTGCAGATATCCTCAGCAAACACTGGGACTAACATCGGTATGGCCTATGCTGAATCACTCTGTTTTGGTCAGAGATACCAAGAATTGCGGTAAAAAACACTCAGAGTCGACAATCGCCACTGAGGGGAGTGAAACGTTACAGTTCTCCCACGACTCAGAGTATTTGTGAGTAGATTGAGTCATGCTTATGAGTCAACACGATGAACAGAGAAGCTGGCAAGTACACGTCTCAACGAAACCAAAGGACACGGTAAATGGAGTATTCGACAGGAGTAAAGCATCCTGCCAACGAACCGTTTCCCGCAGAAACCACGTTGACTCCGTATGAATCAAGATCAACTACCACGATGCATTGATCAAAAACGCTACAACTAGCTTTACTGATCGCATCAATCAAAGCTCACAACACAGATTATGAATTACTAAGAGCGAACTTTGCATTTACCTTTGCACTCGTCTTTAATAGTGCAGTTGATCTCGTGGGTGGTAGTACCTCTACGAGATCCCTCTATTAAGTAGTATTTCTCACGTTAGCAGATTAACTAGTCGCAGTACGCACTGCCACACCTCCATCAAGATGGCCGAGAACCAGCCAAGCTCAAGCATGTCTATGACCTATGCGGCGGAGACGCTTCCACACAGGTACAATGCATCTCACATGCGCATCCCACTGTCTGAACAAGGAATTGATGGATGGATGGATCTCCTATCTCACCAAAGATGAAGTATGGATCTCCAAGCTTCCACGACACCAACGGCGCTCCAAGACCAGTACCTCTCACCAGGAAGAAGCTACTGCTCGCGGCATACAATGTATCACCATTGGTCGTTCAAGAAGAAAGCACACGTCCACATCGTATCACTGACGGCCACCGCACTCGATGCTTTCAGAGTTGGACTCTTCCAACCACACGGAAATCTCCCTGGCAGCAAATGGACGTAGCGATGCCACGATGACTGATGGGGAGCGTGCAATCGCCTTTGGGACAAGAACAACAAGCCCGTCCCTCGGAGTTCAGAGAGTTTCGCACGAATCAGCCTTCATCAAATGGAGGAAGAACTTCCTCAACACGCTCAAATCTCAAGGTCTCTCCCACCTCATTGATTCTGACTAGGTACCAACGTCGAACTAGACGAGAAACAAACGAGAAGGATGTACAAGACCTTCGAAGACATCTTCCAAGAGGCACAGGCAGATCTGTCGTCCTTGCCAACGAAACCAACAAGGACACTCGTGCGATCTGAAGGCAATTGACGAATATTAATCCATGGTCGCAACCCTGCGCTCGGATAAGATTTCGTGTTATCTACCTCCGCCGATATCCAGAAGTGTATGGAGAGGGTCCACAAGCCGGTTTCATCTCCAACTTCTCGAACAATTTCGGCAGTTCAATGAGATCAGCGACGACCATACACTGACCAGCAGGGAGCACGTTTCTTGGAACCTCAATCTCCAAGGCACCAAATCTCGCTCCCTGTACGACGTCTCGCACTGCAAACCAAGAAAGCCGCAGGAGACGCCTCCAATTATACACTCGAGCAATACCGAACAGCCTTCTCGAGCAAGCACAACTGCATGACAAGTGCAAATCATGCAACGTCCACACGCTCTCGAAGCAATGCTCGCCGCCGCACCTACCAGCACGAAATTCTCTTCGATGATGGTACCGCAGAAACCTGTGACAACGCCTATGAGGCGTTCGTCCACGACATGGATAGACCAGTGGAGGTCCTATTGCAAGCCCATCAGACAGACACTCGTGGTCCGCGCAAAGTCATGATGAACGCAACCACATGGCGGTCGTTATCCAAGTCGGATCAAGAGGCATGGGATAATATCTCTGAGCAGGGCAAGAAGAGCATCCTTTTGATCTCTCTCTT